TTCTCCTAATTAATTCACTTTCAGTGTGCATGAATTCGTGCACTGGGCCACTAGTAAAAAATAATGAAATCTTACCTTCTGTGATGGCATAGATGGACCTAGAGGGTATTATGCTAGTGAAATAACTCAGACAGAGAAAGGACAATAGCAAATGATTTCACTTATATTTGGAATTTAAAGGACAGAATAAACAAAATGGAAAAAGACTCATAGGCATAGAGAACAGACTGATGGTTGCCAGAGGGAAAGGAGTTTGGGGCGACTGGGCGAAAAAAGGTGAAAGCATTAAGAAGTGCAAACTGGTGGCTACAAAAGACTCACAGAGATGTAACGCACAGCACGGGGAATACAGTCAGTAATGTTGTACGGAGCCAGCTGGCACCTGAAATATTGGGAGGGCCACTCTGTGAAGTGCATGGCTGTCTAACCACTATGCGGGACATCTGAAATTAATACCGAATAATGCTAAATGTAAACTGCAATTGAAATTCTTAAAAATTAACAAACTGATGACCTGGAGTCTCTGAATTCTATATTCTGTGATTAATCTCCTAGTTTGCAGCTATAATCCAGAAAGAAAAAGAAAAAAGGCACCTTTACTGCAGGATCCCTGCAGACAAGATTACTGTAGGTCATTTTAAAAGCCTCCTTTGCTCCTACAATGGGGACTCAGGGGCGGAGCAGATAACTGTTTCAGCTCCCCACTTTACCTCTGTCAGAATAGCCTACGTTGTGCCTAGATTTTATCTTTCTCTGGAAAAAATTAGTAATTAAACTAAATGCTCTTCACTTTCAAAAATAAAAAATAGCTTAAGGAAAGTAAACCTTACAAACCCATGAAGTAATATATTTTAAATCTGTACTTGGAAAAATTAATTATATAACTAAAGTTTAAGTGAACACAGTGTACTATCTTCTCCAAAAATAATCATGTAACTTCTCCAAAAGTAAGATCTATTTGCTACATATTAGAACACTAAAAAATGAGAAATAATATATGTAAGTCTCTACACACTTAAATCTTTAAAATACCTTCTCTTGAAAGTTACAGAACCATTTCATGATTCATATATATATTAATGACAGTGACCACAATATTTGATCTACAGAAAATGTTTTTATTTTTTTATGTTATTTCATTTTATAATTTTTAATCTAAAGCATTTTTTACTGAATTTATTGGGGTGACATTGGTTAACAACATTATACAGGTTTCAGGTGCACAATTCTACAACACATCATCTGTACACTGCATTGTGTGTTCACCACCCCAAGTCAAGTCTCCATCCATCACCATTAATCCCCCCAATACCCTCTCCACCTCCTCCCACCCCCTCTTTCCTTTCCATTCCCTACCCCCCTGGCAATCGCCACACTGTTGTCCATGTCCATGAGTTTTTTCCTCTTTTTTTTTTCCTTTTTTGCTCAATCCCGATTCCCCTCCCCCTCCCCTACACACACACACACACACACACACACACACACACACACACACAGGAAATGTTTTTGAAAAGTTTTGAATTATTGCCTGACCAGCTTGGCTCAGTGGTTGAGCGTTGACCTCTGAACCAGAAGGTCACAGTTCGATTCCTGGTCAGGGCATATGCCTGGGCTTGATCCCCAGTGTGGGTCATGCAGGAGGCAGCCCATCAATGAGTCTCTCTCATCATTGATGTTTCTCTCTCTCTCTCCCTCTCCCTTCCTCTCTGAAATCAATAAAAATATACTTTTAAAAATAAAACTTTTGAATAATTAATCTTATATAGCTTAAAAAATTAACACACATCTCACTGTATCATCTTTATTACTGCCTTAATACTAGTGAAATTTGCATCATAAATCAACTAGAGATTCTATTTTCAACACAGTTTAGTTCACTGTCTTCTCTGAAATAACATTCACCATTAGACGTAATTCTAAAAGTCTTTGATCTATATTTTGCTGAGACATGACTCAGAAGGTGACAGGCAGGTGTGCAGAAGGGGTCCAGTTTGTAGAAAGTCCATCTGATCACTCAGCATGGATAGCTCAACGTGGCCTAATTGTTTTCTGTTGATAGTTGTTTATGTATTTTGTGAATGGATCAATCATATGTTAAATGGTATATCACAGGAATTAAGATCTTCCGATTAAAAAAAAAACAATTTGCGAACATTAGAAACATCAGACTCTATATATTACATGTGTTTTTTAGTCAGGTATCATTTATAAATTTATAAATAAAATATAAAAATATAATCACCACACAACATAGAAACCATGGCAGTATCTCAAAATACTCTCATATCGCCCTAACTGGTTTGGCTCAGTGGATAGAGCATCGGCATGTGGATTGAAGGGTCTCAGGTTCGATTCTGGTCATGGGCATGTACCTTGGTTGCGGGCACATCCCCAGTAGGGGGTATGCAGGAGGCAGCTGATCGATGTTTCTCTCTCATTGATGTTTCTAGCTCTCTATCCCTCTCCCTTGCTCTCTGTAAAAAACCAATAAAATATATTTTTAAAAAAATACTCTCATATCCTTTGCTTTAAAAAAGTTTTTAATAAAAGGTAATATATTAATGGCAGAAAATTTAAGAAATACAGAACAGCAAACATAAGAAAAAAGTAACCATTTTTAAATTTAAAATAATCAACTTCTAATAGAAAAGCATTAGTGATTATATGGACCACCTTTTAAACTGCAAAGGGCCGACTGAATTCAGATTTTGTTTCTCTATGTAATTAAATTCAACCCTTTTTCACAAACCCACAGGACTGCTAAACTGTGATTTAATAAATACTCATAGTAAAATTTGTTTATTTTAACATCAAAAAGCAGAGAATAGAACCTTTAGATTAAATTTGAGACTCTCATAAGTTATATTACCAAAACAGAGTACTGATTTGAAACTATGCCATTAATATTGTAAAGATACTAAAGACTTTGAAAACATCTAATGATCAAGTTTCCTTTAGGAAGACTAGACTACAGAATTAATGTAATAAATTATTATTCTTACTAATATTTATTCTATATAACTAGAGGCCCAGTGCACAAATTCGTACACGGGTGGGGTCCCTTGGCCTGGCCAGCGATCGAGGCCTAACATGGGAGCCGGCGGCCGGGGGTAGGGCGCATGAGAGGTTGGCTGTGGGAGCACACTGACCACCAGGGGACAGCCCCTGCATTGAGCGTCTGCCCCCTGGTGGTCAGCGCGCATCATAGTGACTGGTCGACCAGTTGTTCCGGTCATCTGGTTTGTTCGGTCCTGTCACTTAGGCTTTTATATAGATATCTTGCTATTATCAGCTATAGTTTAGATCTATATTTCTAATTAAAAATATTTTATAACTCTGAAAGAATATAGCTCCCATCTTCCCTTTTAAATTTTGAGATTTATGTTTTTGACATAAATGTATTTATGGATTTATTTTAAGAAAACCAAAGTAGAGCATTTCTTTTCACATACCTCTTTTTAACCTACTTACTGCTAAAACTTTTTCAAAGTTTAATGAAGCAGAGATTAAGCAATCAAATTTAATGCCTAGATGATTCTTTGTAAATTGATTAAAATACCATCTACTAATCTTTAGAGATGGGCTACCTTTTATTTTAAGCTTTTATTTTAATTACTTATAGAAAGTGACTGTGCTCCTTGCATGTGGCAATTAATATACTCATTATTTTTAAATTAAACACAAAAAATGCCTATTTATTTATATTAAGAGCAGACAAAATGAACTTTAATACCAAAAAAAGAGTAAAAAAAGGGTCACTTTATAGTGATTAAAGTTTCAATTTATCAAGAAGTCTTAATAAATTTAAATTTCTATGTGCTTAAGATATGGTCTCAAAGACAAAGGAAATATTTATAGATCTATAAGGAGAAATAGAGAAATCCACTATCTCAGAGATTTTAATATACCACTGTGTTGGTAATTGATTCAAGTCAATTTTTAAAAATTAGTAAGACTATATAATGTTAAAAGAACATGACTTATGACCAACCTAATTTTTATAAAGTTATAATTCTCCAAACCTGAATAGTATCATGACATTAAAAAGCTTGAATGAGTAGTTTTTTATAATGATAGTAAAAAATATACATGTAAGAAAAAAATTTTAAAGCCCAAGAGGCTCTACCAGAAAATTCTGTTTAAACTTTCAGTAACAGATAATTCTCACACAACTCATCCAAAACATAGACAGAGAGGAAATACTCCTTAACTTATTTTATGCAAAACCTTGATATCAAAACCCAACAAAAAACAATAGGAAAAAATTATAAGTCATTCTCATTCATGAACGTGTATGTAAATATCCAAACTTCATTATGGAACCATATAGGAAAAGGGGTTCTGGGAACCACACAAGGGTGAAGAAATGATCATTCTTCAGATCAGGATAATGATTACGCTGGGGAAAGGAATATGGGTGTGATCATGTAAGAGTATCTTAGAGTGTGGGTAGAGGGAAGTGGGAGAGTGGGAATTTATAATTATTTCCATAATCAACCATATATTGTATGTACTTTTCTGTATGTTCATTAAACACATTTCACAACAAAAGAACAAAACAACATTTTAAAGTAATCTTCATTATAGTAAATTTATGGAAGTTACATATTCTATTAACATCTGCAATTGGTAATGGAGAGCTAATAGGCTAAGGACATTATTTAACCCTTTTCTTATAAATTCTTATACTGACTTATTTTATTGCACATATGTTCTTTTTCTAATGAAAAAATCTAATGAATCACAGTTTACTATGACTATGAGTTTCAAAGTACACATTCAGTATTTTTAATCCATCCTAGAAATGGATACACATCTGAGAACAGAGATTCTTTCCCAGGAACATAGGCCAAAAGATTATGCATTCTAAAATCACTTTTATGCTTCTCATGATTTGGCATGGTTGCTATCTAAATCACACCAGACTGTATCATTTCTAAAACTTCAAGCTTATTAAAAAGAGAGCTGTTGGGAGATAAATAATACACTTGTGCTATTACCTTTTAGCCGGTGACTTAGAATCTGTTCCAAAATAGCTGCAAAATTATTAAATTCAGGAGAAGAATCATCAATTGTCTCAAAGCAGGACCGATCAATCAGGGTCTTTACAGAAAACCTAAGAAAAAAAGGAGATTATTATTGCTTTTAAGCAGAGTTGATTTATTCACCCAAGTAGCAAAAACAGGAAGAAAGCAATTTGGGGAGGTATTAGAGAAATACTATATAAGATTATATATTTTGAAAACTCCCTCTATTCAAATTCACTGTGTAAATAGAAACATTTACAGAAATATCAGGCTTTTCATTTATATATTTACTATCTGTTCATTATACTAAGCCACTGTCCTCACAGTTATTAAAATCAGAATTTAAAAAATGACCTAAATTATTAACTCCAAAATACTTGAAAGCTATGACACTACTTGTAAGAAATTTGAGCATCAGACCAAAATGCTTTCAAGAGTTTTGAAGCACAACGTTTAATAAACTTTGATGTCAGTGTTCATGATATGTAGATCCAAAGTTTTTATGAGCTATAAATAGGGAGACTTAAAAATATGTAAAGTATGCTATACTTTTTCCTCTCATCAGAATGTCCTTTATCTTATTTCTGACTGCCAAAAATCAACACATTTTCCAAGACTCCATTCAGATAACATCGCTTCAGTGAAGGATTATCCTCTAACACAGGGGTCCTCAAACTACGGCCCGCGGGCCACATGCAGCCCACCGAAAACATTTATCTGGCCCGCCGGGTGTTTTTGCCGCTGCTGTGTGCATAGGAATTTGTTCATAGTTTTTTTTTAAACTATAGTCTGGCCCTCCAACGGTCTGAGGGACAGTGAACTGGCCCCCTGTTTAAAAAGTTTGAGGACCCCTGCAACATATTCCTAGCAAACTAATATTTTGTTTGTATCTCCCTCCAGAGACAATTACAATTTATCCTACTGCCGTTATTTGTGTTGTCTATCTTTATATTATTAAAATATAAATTCCTTCAGGGCAATGAATGAAATTGAAAAATATATTACAAAGAATCAACAGTAAAGGAGATGAAACAGAGGATCAAATAAGTGATTTGGAAGATAAGAAAGTATAAAACACCCAATCAGAACAGCAAAAAGAAAAAAGAATTTTTAAAAATGAGGACATTTTAAGGAAACTTTGGGAACATCAAGTGTACCAACATTAACATCTTGGGGGTGCCAGAAGGAAAAAAGAGAGCAAGTAATTGAAAAACTATTTGAAAAATAATGACAGAAAATTTCCCTAATCTGGAGAAGGAAATAGACATACAAGTTCAGAAAGTGCAGAGAATCCCAAACAAGATGAACCCAAAGAGGCCCACACCAAGACACATCAGAATTAAAATGTTAAAGATAAAGAGAGAATCTTCAAAGTAGCAAGAGATAAGTAATTTGTTACATACAAGGGAGTTCCCATCAGACTGTCAGCTGATTTCTCAACAGAAACTTTGCAGGCCAGAAGGAATTGGCATGAAATATTCAAGTGATGAACAGCAGGACCTACAACCATGATTACTCTACCCAGCGAAGTTATCACTTAGAATCAAGGGACATGTAAAGAGCTTCCCAGACAATAGAAAGCTAAAGGAGTTTATCACCACCAAACCAGAATTACAAAAAAATGTTAAAAAGTCTTTTTTAAGAAGAAGAAAAAAGATTAAAAATATGAATAATAAAATGGCAATAAAAACATGTGTGCCAACAATTATTTTAAGTGCAAATGGGTTAAATGTTCCATTCGAAAAACATAGGTGGTTGAATGGATAACAAAACAAGATCTTTACATATGCAGTCTACAAGAGACTGCTTCAGATTGAAAGACACACAGAGACTGGAAGTAAAGAGATGGGAAAAAATATTTTATGAAAATAGAAACAAATGAACAAACAAAAGCTGGAGTAGCAATACTTATACCAGACAAAATAGACTTTAAAAAAAAAAAAAAAAGCTATAATAAGAGACAAAGAAGGACCCAGCAATTCCACTTCTGGGTATTTACCCAAAGAAATCCAAAACACTAAATTGAAAAGACATATGCATTCATATATTCATTGCTGCATTATTTACAATAACCAAGATATGGAAGCAATCTAAATGTCCACTGATGGATGAGTGGATAAAGAAGTAGTAGTGCATATATACAATAAAATATGGCTGAGCTATAAATAATCAGTAAATCTCCCCATCAGCAACAACATGGATGGACCCAGAGGGTATTGTGCTGAGTGAAATGAGTCAGACAGGAAAAGACAAATGCCATATGCTTTCACTTATATGTGAAATCTAAAAAACAAATGAACAGGCAAATCACAAAGAGGCTGCCTATAGGTACAGAGAATATTTTGATGGCTGCTGGATGGGAGGGGTTGAGGGAATCGGTGTAACAGTTGACGGGATTAAGAAGTACAAGTTGGTAGTTACCGAATAGTCATGGGGATGTTAAGTACAGCATAGGGAATATAGTCAATAATATGGTAGCCCTACCCAGTTTGGCTCAGTGGATAGAGCATCAGCCTATGGACCAAAGGGTCCTGGATTCGATTCTGGTCAAGGGCATGGACCTCATTTGCAGGGTCCTCCCCAGCCCAGGCCCTGTGTTTCTCTTACATTAATATTCCTCTCTGTCTTTCCCTCTCTCTAAAAATAAATGGAAATTTTCTCAGGAGAGGATTAAAAAATAATATTGTAATAACTATGTATGGTGTCAGATGGAGACTGGATTTATTGGGGTGATCACTTCATCTACACTAATAAAAGGGTAACATGCTAATAAGACCGGAAGTCTTCCAGACATCCATCCAGACAAAGCCATGGTGGCGGGGGCTGAGGCAGAGGTGGTTAGGGGCTACCAAGCCGGCAGGGGAGGGCAGTAAAAGGCAATTAGGCCAGCAGGAGAGGGCAGTTAGGGGTGACCAGGTTGGCAGAAGAGGGCAGTTAGGGGCAACCAGGCCAGCAGGGGAGTGGCAGTTAGGGGCGACCAGGCAGGCAGGCAGAGTGGTTAGGGGCAATCAGGCAGGCAGGTGAGCAGTTAGGAGCCAGCAGACCCGGACATCCCCTGAGGGGTCCCAGATTGGAGAGAGTGCAGACCGGGCTGAGGGACACCCCCCCACCCCCCGTATGAATTTCATGTACCAGGCCTCTAGTAAGTTATATAATCTCTAATCACTGAGTTGTGTACCTGAAGCTAATATGATATTGTACATCAACTCTAATTGAAAAATTAAAAATATTTATTAAAAAAGAACTGCACTTAACTGTAAGACCCTTTTATGAAATTTTTTATTTTCCAAGTTCTTATGTAAAAGCTATTACTTAGACTTGATTTGATATTTTTAGACATTCATCAAATTATCATTTTATTATTTGAAAACCAGTCCTCTTTAAGAAATAGATGACTAATATTAACATCATCATTATCAGGAAATAGCTCAGCATCTGTGTGATATTTTTTAAATGTATTAAAATTCATTTTACAGATTTGGTTTTTATAGCACATCTTAGCTTACTGTGTTACGGACAAAAAGATTCTGGAATTATGGAGCTAGCTACACGATTCTAGAGAAGTGGTGAGTGGGAAGACTTGGCTAGCTAGACTTAAGGATCTAATTCACCTTCTGAAATTTAGGTTTGTGTTGGCAAGAGAACAGGGTATAATTGATGAAACAAAGCTGAGAAATATTCTTTTTCTGCATTATTCACTTTGATATATTACAAATTATTTAAACTGCTTTTTCACCCTGAAAATATCTTTCTGCTTGGAAATAACAGAAATTTTGTGTAATGATGTGCTTTGTGATATTTGGATTTTGCTTTCGTTTTAGTTTTTAGGGAGAGTTTGAGTTAAAAGTAATTTAGCATTCTGAGACTCACCATCTTAGGTTTTTGTCATGCAGATATTGTCTTCTATAGAAATATAAACTACTGATAACATGATGAAAAAAGACTCTTATTTTATTGACTACTTAATGATCTGTATATGGCTCTGGATCCTACAGAAATGTACATGTTACTCTCCACAGCTATTGCATTTTACAAAGTAGATAATTTGTTAGGTAATTTTGTATTAGTCCTGAAGGACAGTAGTGACTAAAATTTCATCAGACTGCTGTTATAGGTGGTTGAATTCTAACCTAGCTCTTTTGATGAAATAAGCACTTTGTTAGTTTTATCTTTTTAAATATAATTTCAGTTTATTTCACCAATGTAGATTAATATCTGAGATACTGTGATTTTCTAAAGCAGTACGTTACTCCTCTTTGTGATTGCAGAGTCAGCTTTTCCTATTCAATTCCATCTAATAAAGATTATAGAGAAACACTCCACATTCAGAAGTTTCCTTCCATTTAGGTCAAAGGTGGAGGTGAAGATGTGTGGTTTTTGTTTATTCATTTTAGGAACACTTTTCCTAAAAATTTATATCTTACTGGACAAGAACATCTTACTTAAAAAGTTTGATGGGGACATTCAAAGTTTTTGGGGATTTGCAACGTTTTTCTGGTGTAGTATCCTCAAAGTTTGCTGAGGATGTGCAACATTTTTCTGGTGAAATGGACATAAGAAATAAAAATAAGTTTTCAAGCCCCTTTTTAATCTGGTTTCTGTTTACCATTTTATTTCTATTCATTTAGTTATGCATTTCATCTAAATTAACTATGTTTCTGGTACAAGAGAACTTCATCAATGTTACTTCCTAGGTTTTTTTTCCTTTTATGTAACAGCTTCCTCCACTGAACTCCAGCTGTTGTTACAGATGGATTAATGTTTAACTACATGTTACTATCTCAACTTTTCTTAGTCAAGGTTATTTGTCAGAACCAAAAAAGACTGAAAATTATCTGAGTAATTATTTTCTCAAGGATATATAATTACTATCATTCTATTTGTATAAGATAAAAGTGATTTCATTGTATACAAAGAATCGCCAGGTGTACTCTTCGACCCAGGCCCTTTCAGAGGTTTGAAAGGTCAAAATTATTTTCTTAACAATTATAAGACATTGTTTGCTCTTTTGGTTCTCATTTTTTACCAAGCGTATTTCGGAGTTTTCCAGAGACTACATGGTATATATCAGAATAGACTGAAAGCAGAA